CATCATTCCAGTGACCATATCATTCTTCATCAGTTGATTAACATATCCATTGTTTAGATGACCAAATCTCTGGTGCCACATATCCAAGGGTTCAGTTGTAGGATGGGCAAATTCAACTGGATTAACAGTATACAGCATACCATCTACCAATTTACCAATCACGTATTCTTTTTCTTCTTTGTAAACAACACATTTTTCGTCATCGAATGACACTTTAGCTCCCATTGAAGCCATTGCAGGTACAGACAATAGGTTTTTTGCTAACATCGGCACATACAATACTTTGTGTAACTCCAAATAGAATGTATTGTCATTTTGAGTATATAGCTTAACCATTCCTTCACCCAGAGCTTTGATACAGGTATTGTCACCCAAATAAATATTCACCGGTGTTTGGTATTGAGTGTAGTTGATGATAAGGTCCTTGCGATTTGTCATATGCTTTGTCGCAGCTGAATCCACATACCAATCATTTGAATTTCCTGTGCTTGAAATCAGTGCTACTCCACCACCTTCCGCAAGCTTCGAATGTTCCCCTTTGTTTCCACCTTTTCTATAGTTGAGTGGACAGTTTCTGGCGATGTGTCCAGCTTTGTTACACTTAAAGCATAAAATATTTCTTGCTCTTCCATCATCACGTTGTTGTGCTGCTGGTGTCAATGTATCCCCACCTTTATTGGTGTTCCATGATGGCTTGTAGTCTACAGGAGTCCAATTTCTAGAATGTTCACCATGTCTTCTTCGATCATAATTTCTTCCTCTGCTCATGTATGACTTCCTGTTTGTAAGCAATGCATTGTCACTCTTGTTATTCTCAAATTTTTCCTTTCTCTTCAAATACTCTTCTATTAACAATCCCTTTATATTGTCCCATTCCAACTCTTCAGCTTTTCTCGCATTCAAACTTGTGAGGAGATTATCATACGATTCGGGTAAACTCCCTAGCACCACAGTAGCGAATTTCTTTGATGATATATCTTCTTCCATTTCACGCAGTTGTTCTGCCAATGATGTCATATAGGTCAGGTGTTTCATAAGATCTCCACCTTCTTCCATGGTGGCTGCGTAGAATTTACGATTCAAACGCACGACTTGGGTAACAGATACAAACTCAAATTGTTTTTTCAAGTTCGTCCATGCTGCTAAAGGATCTGTCGTACTCGAAATGTGTATTTGCAAGTGTTTCTCGACGTTTAAGGCAATCAGAGAGTAGGCTTTATCTGATCGCAACTGGAAAGCATTCTTTACAGCATTTGTCGCATCTTCGTCAGGAGGTATTTCTTTGCCTTCTTGTGTAAAGCCCCAAAGGCCACGTTCCATAAGAACTAGCTTGACATTGTATTTCCAAGACTGATAATTCTTGCCATTTAGCTTATCGATCTTCGTAATTTCCGCCATATTAGACTCGAAGTATTTTCACCAAAATTTCCGCCAAACAGGACAAATAAACACGTTTTAATTCAATTCCACACGTCCTGGGCCCATAACCTATTGAAATATTCGCTCACTTTCGATTGTATAACTATTTATTTGAAGATAAACATAACTTTAATAGACTTAATAATATGAATTGATTTTCTAAAACATGTCCGACCGAATGTACACATCAGAGAAGAGAATCTCATTAATCTTTAACCAATCATATTTAGCGTTATATAATTTGGCGGGAACTTATTATTCTTAACAGAGAGAATAAGATCATCCGCAACATACATATGCATTTATATTTATATAATAAATTCCACATTTTGAGCAAAATTTGTCGTCTTTGGCACCAGAACAATCACACACTGAGCAAAACTGAGTTTGACAGTCTGAAACTGTCACAGTTTCCTCACTTTCATGCAGAAATTTGACTAGAGCAAGTGGATATTTTTTAATTGACTTCAAAAACACAGCCAGAGGCCCAGAGAGTTCACTGGAGTTCAGTCAGTTAAATCAATTCCACTTTTACAGGAAATTGAATTTCAATAAAGTGGAAACATGGAATTTTGTTGAACTTCTTGTCTATTTCTTCAGAATTTTTTTGTTTACATATTTTTGTTTTGAAAATATACCTATTATAATGGCACACTTTAGGAATGAGAAAGTACAGTGAAGAACTGTTAACCAATTAATGTTTTGGAGTTTTAAAAGTTGTGATCGCTTCAAGGAAAGATATATTTCTCCTTGCTTTAATGACAGCCATTCAAGACAGGTATGAACAGCAGAACAGCTAATTACCATGCCACGTTACAAATTACAAAATATTGTACCGCACGGGGACAGCAAGTATTAAAATCAGCGTTTTGAAGGACAAATTAATATCATAGCTCATGATTTTCATACTAAAAACCTGTATTTTTAATAAATATATAATCATAACGGGCTGAAATGAAACTCGATCTTTTCACAACAACATTCCTTTTTTGCTTTGTGGCTGTCACAGTGTCAGTACATCCTATTGTTAACCAAATAAAAGACTTTAAATCCTGGGATGATAAATCTTCTTGTAAAAGTGTAAGTACTTTATTTGACATTCAGAGAAGATTTGCGTGGCAGCTGAGTAGTCTAGCTGCAAGTAAAAACAGAGTCAAAGGTCTGCTATTGCCACAGGTCACTACTCTTCACCTATTTCTGAAGGAATTAAACGACACAAAGTTTGCCATATTCTCTTCTTTCAACTTTCTAAGTAAACTACTTAGAGAGGACTACAAATCGATACGTGATGTCAAAGGGGGAATTGAATCAAGGATTATATATTTTCAAAACGAGATTGGTCGTGAACAAGAGTTGTTTAACGAGATCTTAAAAGCAGAAAAGGAGCTGGACGCCATTATTAAGGAGAAGGTAAAACGAAATGACACGTCAAATTCACATTCTTCAAAAATGCAAAAGTATGTTGAAGAGGTTTTGAGCGACGTTTCTATCGCAGCAGATAAACTTGAGAATTCTCTGGAGGAAAACTCTTACTCAAAACAAGTAGGGGGTGCATACGAGGTCGTTCTCAGAGTGGATGAGAATGAGGAAGGAGATATTTTAGAGAATATTGAAAATAATGTCAGCAGGTCATTGAGTGATCAGAGCAAGTATGTAATGACAACGTTGATTGATTCCAGCAGTAATCATTACGTGTTGTCCAAACCAAATGATCCGACATTACCACATGAGGATCGACATTTGATACAGAATGTCATTTGTATTGTAATTATTTCATTTCTGTTTGCACTGGTGTGCAATGTGCTTCACATGCCCACAATGTTTGGTTTTGTTGTTACTGGTATGATTCTTGGTCCACCTGGTTTGAATTATATTCAGGTAAGCCCTACAAGCCTAACGATAATGACAGTGTCCAATAGGCTGATGTGATACAGTTTATCAATATTCTCGATGTGCATCGGATCGGATTGGACGTTTATAATCCGACAATTGCCTAATGTTTAAAATCCGATCCGAGTTTTGATAAAGAATTCCAATCCGATCTGAAGAATTCTTTAATAATAAAAATAAATTTCTCATTCAAGTTGAAATATTTAACCAAATAAATATAAAAGCAAGAAATAGATGTCAAGAAGCTGACAAAGTGACGTCCAATTGAAGTATCAAACAAATAATGCAGCGACTGTAACTGCGATCATGATGCTTTGATAAGTGCATAGATAATTCATTCTTGTGATAATGTGTGGATAATTAATTCATTTTATTTCGGATATCGAAGTCCAATCCGACTACGAAACATTATTAATCCGATCTGAAATGAATATTTTGATTCCCAAATCCAAACAAATCGGTTTCGGATCAGATTTGCACACCTCTAGTATCAATATTTTCAAGAAATATAAGTGTGATGAGTCGACAGCCGAGTTGAATGGAACATTCCATCTTTCACCAAATGAAAATATTCTTACCATTGCACGAAGAAACATTCATTATTTGTTTTATATAATACCAAAATAGACTAATAGATTCGTATGAGAAGCATTTTGAGGGATGCGATTTATCGAAAACACAAAGAGTGCAATTGTACTATATGTTTTATTCCATTGCACTCGCGGAGAGTGCAATGGAACGTGTTCCATTGCACTCTTGGGAAATGGAATTTTCTATTCAATATCACATGACCATAAACAGCCAATTAAATGATTAGAATTTAATAAGGTATTATATAATAGGTAGCTATAGTAATTAATGGACAGAAATCCCGGCAGTATAATGGACGTATACCCTAGACTGATACAATATTGAAAATATTGGTAATATCAAATAATGCAAATTAGAAAAATGTAGTTTTAGTAAACTTGCATGTATACCCCATATCACAAGCAGCATGAAACTAGTCAAACATTAAAATATTTATTTACAACAGTTTATGAAATGTTTAATGATTTATTTGCAACTGCAGCCGCTTGTGTGGGTGATCTTCTGTGATCACACTAATACTCTGTTTCACTTTTAAATTGCCCACATACTTGCTAAACTTTACCAGACAATATAAATTGCCGAAAAAAGGAGATTAAGTTGCCTAGTTAAAACTTTCTATATTTTTTCGATATATATGAAAAATTAAATATCGATGTGAAAAGAGGCACTGTCAACGATTTACCTAAATTGCACTTTACCTATAGCTGCCATTGTCAATTTGTTTGTGCCAACACAAAGAGAGTGACTAGAAGATAGTTGGTTTGGTCCGGCACGCAAGATGACTTCAGACCAATCTGTCAGCAATTTTTTGTCCCGGTCTCATGTAAACATACAACAGTATCTATAATATTAAAAGTTAACTGTTTTACATTTAACTGTGTAATTATGATATTTTAGTACTTTTCCTCATTTCCATATCTTTAGTCTGTGGTTCAAATTGAAACACTTGGTGAGTTTGGTGTTTTTCTTATCTTGTTTTCACTCGGACTGGAATTCTCACCTGAGAGAATAAAAAAGGTAAATGTTCACATTTACTGTACATTACAGTCATGGCTGGACTTGGGGGGGGGTACACCTCCCCTGGAATAATTTGCACTTCCCCTGAGAATTGCTACCCCGCAGCTCCCCTTGATGGATTAATTAAAAGTCAAAACTGATTGTTATTAAATTTATGTGTTGCTTTAAGGTCTTTACTTTAAGTTCTTCTGCACTCTAAAAACACCTTGGTTAAGACTTTCCTGGTTAATCCAGAAATAACCCTATATGAGTTAACTTGATTTATTCCTTCTTAAATTTCCTGCTTATTTATCCACCTAACATAATCTGGTTAATTTAGCCGGGACAAATATTTGACCAGATTTGTGGTTACAATAACCAGGAAATTTAAGTTGCCCCAACCCAGATAGGGTTATTTCTAGGTTAACCAGGAAATTTTTAACCAGTCTGAGAGTGTATGTAGACTAGAGTGTATAAAATCAAAAAACTGATAATCCTTCATCCCTGTGTCAATTACCAGTGAGGATTGACTCAGGATTCCCAACAGAATTAAGAGCCAGTGAGAGGTAGTGGTAGCGGTTTTGATGTGTTGATGTATGTAATTCTGTTCCTTCTTGTTCTGACTTAAGTTACTGAATCAGAATGATTAATGTATTGAATGAAATTATCAACTCACTAAAGTGTAAATTTTATATGTATACATTTATTAGTCCTTTGAAGCTCCAGGACTGCATTTCCGGCGTTTCTAAATTGATCTAAATTGACTGCATTTTACAAAAATGGTTATCATTTCACAAAAATAACGACTTTATTACGCAAATTTTACCTGAAAATGTCAAAATTTAAACTTGAATTTTACCTGATTTTTACCCGAGTTTCACAGTTGAAGGGGGGGGGGGGGTTACAACCCCCAGTCGGTACGTCCCTGGCGAGAGTTGGAACCCTCATCATCTCTCATCCTCATTTTCAAGACTGGAGTGTACGGTAACACACAATAATGAACAACTCAGTTCATACTTGTAAACACCTGGTTGCTGTCATTTTAGGTATGGAAAGTGGCTATTTACGGCAGCACATTTATAATGGTTACAGTGGTGCTTTGCGGCATTGTTTGGGGGTTATTTTTCGGAATTCCAACGCGACAAAGTTCCTTTGTAGCTGCATGTCTGTGTCTGTCCAGCACGCCACTTGTGGCAAAGTTTATTTCCTCCGCAGAAAAGACATCGTTGGACACAGGTGAAAAATGTAAGCAAATCAAATATTCGCATATACCGAAAAAAAGTACTCCGAATAGTACAGCATCATAAACTCAAGATGACGACAATGACTAAAGGCCCAGTTACACTTGCAATTTTTGCTGCTATTTTAGATGGATATTTTCCTCTTCTGCATGATGGATGAAAACGAGTGTATGAGTTATCAATGCACATACGTATGAGGGTATATACACTCAGTATACCATTGAAATTCATAACTAATCTACTCGTTCATATCCATCAGAAGATGAAAATCGCACTAGAAATCGGAGCAAGAATTGCAAATGTAATTAAACGGGCCTTAAAACGCCTTTGAAATCATGAAGTCGAAATAAGACCTTTAATTTTGTGTCTTCCTCTTCATCAACTCATGTCCTTGAGTTTACAAGATAATTCTTTTCGGAGTGTATCATTTTCCATCGTATTTAGTAGTTTTAACTATATATAACTATTTAAAATAGTAGTTTTAATATTTAGTAGTTTGAGCTGAGCTCTTAAGAGAGCTCAGCTCAACCTGATCGAGGCAAAGGCTTTCTAAGGACAACAACCATCGTATGAGTCATGTCTGACCATGGAGCACAGTTACGGTAAAATTAAGGGTCAGTTAAGGGTTATCCATCCTGTCAACATTGGCATTGTTTGGGCGAAGGAACCCACGACTTTTGGTAGAGCGTTAACTTACCCTTTTCACATAAGTGCATGTCATGAGTCTGTAGCGAAAATCGATCCCATGATCTCAGAGGTGCATGTAAGGCGTTTGCTTTGACTACTGCCCCACCATTGAAGTTATTCTGACTCCTAAATCACCGCAGAGGCGTGGACACTGCTGATTTTGCGGTTTTCTTTTCGTATGTAGATCATACAAATGGCGACGATTATGCGGGCCCGTTACTTGGTATTTTAATCATGCAAGATGTTCACTTGGGCTTTCTGATTGCCATTCTTCCTGCATTGGCTGGACATCATGGCACACGAAGCGCAAGAGTCATCAAGTCTGGATTGATTCATGATCTGGTGCATGGAATTAGGCATTCAGGTATTGTACATAATCATTTTGAGCGTGCATGAATTGAAACAGACGTGTCATTGAATCGGGATAATAAGGATCGACTTTAATTAATAGAGAGGTTGCATGGCAAATACAACGGCAACGAGAACTTGCTCATCAACAATAGTATCTTCACTCAAGACAACGGGGACTAAATTTACATTCCCTTATAAGCATTCTAGTACGCCGTATAGTTACCCCGCTAACAGAATAAAACCTTCCAGTCATTTGGGGTGTTTTATTTGAATTCACATTATTCACTTACTATAATAGCTACTTCAGGGAATTTCAGGGTTGTTTGAAAGAAAGATAAGTGCTTTTAAAAGTTTAGGTTACAACGGTAAATCAAAGATTTTCAAGTCTCTTGTACAACGCAAACATTTCAATCCGTGACAAGTGCAGGTACTACAAATTTCCCCAGCATTATCTATCGATTCGTATTTATTTTTGAGCTATTATATTTCAAATGCAAAGCACATATACATTCTATCTCGGATGGCCGAGTTGCATGCGTGGGCAAAGTGTTTACATGGTAAAATATTAATCTCGTCTAGGTGATATCCCGCCTCTTTCTGCCGGAAACAAACAGTCACCCGGGATTTAATACTATAAGTTTCTATAATAGCCGGGATTTCGCCGTTGCCGAGTAAAACAGGCCCTTAGAGCTATGCGGTTCTCGGTTCCAGTCTATTGCATGAGGGCAATCTCGTTCCCCGAGCCTGCGATCCTCGGGAAGGAATCGAAGGCTCTGGGATAATCCGTTACCGGAAGCCAAGAATCATGGCTAAGATTGAACTACGCATTCCATTTCAATGGCCAATCAGATTCCTCCCTGAAACGGATTATCCCAGAGCCTCGCGTTCCTTCCCGAGGATCGCAGGCTCGGGGAACGAGATTGGCATGAGGGGTGAAAGAACCTTGGTTCCAGTCCATTGCATGAGGGGTGGAAGAACCTCGGTTCGGTATTTTCAAGAGAAGGACAACTCAAAACATTGTAATGTAATGCTCAATAAATTGTAATGCAACATGAAAATAACAACTTATTGATATTTGGGATACAAGTATTCTAAATGAAATTATGAAAAGAGAAATATCTTTGTTTGTGCAGACATTTTGTTATATTTCCGACATGAAACAGTGACACGTCGGGAACCGAAACTACCTTTTGTGCATGCCCGGTGCCGACTTTCTGTTCCTAAAACAGAACCGTATCAACCGAATATTTCGGTTAACCGCACAGCTCTATAGTCTGCGTGCCGATATCCTTAAATTTTTCAAATTTTTAATAAATTTGAGCAAAAAGGCTTTCAAGGACAAAACGCTGCAGCACCAGAAGGGCCCGAATATCTTGACAACCGAAATAGACCTCGGAAGTAATATTACACATTATCCAATCTTTGCGCAATAAACTCTCGGATATACAGTATTTGGAGATAAACAAATATGGCAGACTGTTTGGTGTAGTGAAATGAATATAACTGAGGTGCTTATATGGTTCAGAGATGGTACTTTTGGGGGTGGTCATTGGTAAGTGTGAAATGCCTAGCACTAATATTTCACAAGAAAATAACCATGCAATAATCATAGTTAAACGTCAATTTGTAGCTTGCAACTTCAGATAAACAGCAGTGGACTTACATTACCTTTTTCCCTAAATCTTTTTTATAGAAACATAATTGGTACTTATTTAAATAAATTATCACTGGTTTGGTGTAAAATAGTTAATATTTTCTGACCGAAATAATAATTTGAAATGTGCCTACCTCCTGCAAATGGACGTGTTTGGCCAAGTTCTCCACTTTACTCCGCTGTTTATCGGCGATCTCGTCCACATCCTTCCAAAAATTTATATCATCTCACACATAATGGTATCAAGAACATTTTAAACAAGTTTCAACTTGGTTTCAAGTAGATCATAGCTGTTTAACCATGGACAAGGTAAATCCACAAATTTGTCCAAATTCGGCGCCATTTTGTCATCCCGTGTCGGTTGTCAACAATTCGGCCTTGTTACTCTTCCATCCAAGCCATTTCCATTCCAGTAATAATAAATTTAACCCTTTATAACGGTAGGAAACTAAAAAATCTAAACAAAATATAAGAAATGCGGCATTTTATCACCCTGCGAAATGTTGCTCACAAGTCTTTCAAAACATTCCGTACAAATCTCGCGTGACAAAGTAACAGGGACGTGACAGGGGGGGGGGGTGTGAATTATTTCACACGAAGATAGAAGAAGGCTGCGTGAAATAGACTAAAACTAAGCTAAATACAATCATACAAACGTTTGTTTTATTTCTTGTAGCGACAAATATATACATATTATTATTTATTAATATGAACAAGTCATACAAATTAAATGTTGATTGTTGGTTTTACTGTCATACTGTGTGGGCTTTGCTTTCATTTTTCAAGTCTCCACCCCCCTGTCACGTCCCTGTTACTAAACCACGCGATATTTGTACGAAATGTTTTGAAGGACTCGTAAGCAACATTTTGCAGGGTGATAAAATGCCGCATTTCTTATATTATATTTTGTTTAGATTTTTTAGTATCCTACCGTTATAAAGGGTTAAATTTATTATTACTGGAATGGAAATGGCTTGGATCTTGGATGGAAGAGTAACAAGGCCGAATTGTTGACAACCGACACGGGATGACAAAATGGCGCCGAATTTGGACAAATTTGTGGATTTACCTTAATTGTCCATGGTTAAACAGCTATGATCTACTTGAAACCAAGTTGAAACTTGTTTAAAATGTTCTTGATACCATTATGTGTGAGATGATTTACATTTTTGGAAGGATGTGGACGAGATCGCCGATAAACAGCGGAGTAAAGTGGAGAACTTGGCCAAATACGTCCATTTGCAGGAGGTAGGTACATTTCAAATTATTATTTCGGTCAGAAAATATTAACTATTTTACACCAAACCAGTCATAATATATTTAGATAAGTACCAATTATGTTTCTATCAAAAAGATTTAGGGAAAAAGGTAATGTAAGTCCACTGCTGTTTACCTGAAGTTGCAAGCCACAAATTGACGTTTAACTATGATTATTGCATGGTCCGTTTTCTTGTGAAATATTAGTGCTAGGCATTTCACACTTACCAATGACCACCCCCAAAAGTACCATCTCTGAACCATATAAGCACCTCAGAATAGCCAAAGCTATAAGGTTTGGTAGCTAGCAGTATGGCGAAAGCGTTGTTTTTGGGTGTGGTCAGTTTCGGACGTTTCGCCCCGGATTGGGGTTCGGGCAGCGTTACAATGTTGACCGTCATGGTCAACTTGCCCTAAAACAGTTGAGATTATCTGTCCTAAATGAAATGGATACAAACTCATATACAGGTCCTAGACTACGCAGTACAAACTGATTTACACGATTATAAATATAACAACTAGATAAAATATATACATAGAGTCATTTATATGTATAGGTAATTGGCAACCTCTGATATAACTTTAACATTTAAAAAGCCTATTAAAGGCGGTTAGATGAAGGACAACGATAAAATATGCTCTATAGTTCGAAAATAGGTCAGTAAGTGTAAAATTACGAATTATACTTAATTGTAACAAAGTTACGAAACCGTTCAGTAAATATAAGCGGTGTAGGAGGATTGCTGTTTCGCAGCATAAGGCAATAGTTATGGACGGGTTCGTAACTTCGTACGGTGTTTCTTTAAGAATATTTACCAGCGGATTGCATGCGAAAGGTTGACTTGTGACACTTTAACTTCTGAACGAACGACTTGCAGGCATCGCCTCTGTCAGTGATCAATTAATGTATCAAGTCCGGTAGTATCCAGCGCATCGGCCGCATATGACAAGTCAGGATAGATGATTTTAAGTGCACGACGTTGAGTGGACTCAATTTCATTCGACAATGTGGATGTAATTGAGTCCATTCAACGTCGTGCTCTTGAAATCATCTATCCTGACTTGTCATATTGTCCGGAAATGGGATTGATATGCCCGGTGGACTTTATTGCCGGTAGCTGACGTCACCGCCACGCTACCGGAAGTGCAAGCTAAGCATGTTTTCTAAGTATTCGGGAAAATTGTGAAAATATACAACAACATTGTGATTTTTAAGCGAAATATATTTGGTTTAAACCTTTTATTGTGACACTTGTTGTGGGATACATATCCTTGGAGGCGGGATCCCCAACAATATGCCGATGCACTGGATACTACCGGACTTGATACATTAATTGATCGCAAGAGGCGATGCCTGCAAGTCGTTCGTTCAGAAGTTAAAGGGTCACAAGTCAACCTTTCGCAATCCGCTGGTAAATATTCTTAAAGAAACACCGTACGAATGCCTCGCGATTCTCTCGCGAGTCCAGTTCAGAGAGTGAGCATTCCGTTTCAATAAGAAAAAACTAAAAGGACGTTTTACCTGAATAAATGCATTAACAGAAGGTTTCGGCAACGATGTTAAAACGGTTTATAGATAACCCAATTGTAAATCACCTTCTGGTGAAATTGGCTACCTGAATAAAGATTATTATTATTATTGTTGTTTGTTTTGTAAATTTTAAGCCGGCTTTCAAGAATACATATTCATGTTGACGGATTGACCGCGCTCTTCGCATGCATGAAAAGACTGGGACTGCGTTGAAGTTTGGCTTCAAATTTCCGGTTGGTGGTACGTATAGCGTTCCAGTTATATTCATTCCACTGGTTTGGTGAAGCTGCGAGCGAAACGATTTCAGGCGTTGATTGTTTCGGATATTTGAAACAACCGTTATTTCAAAAACAGTTATTAGAAACACAACAAGTTGACCATTATATTAACTTTTGGCGGCATTTTGCATCTTAGCGCTCGTTTTAATAATAATAATAATAATAAATAATAGTAAGGAAGCAAAAAACTTTTAAAATCTTAATATATTTTGTCACATATGTTGAAGATTACTTGATTTACCATAGCTGACACAAACACAGTACTAGTTTTTAATCTTGTCCCCCCTCGACAATCTGACGTCCTTGTTGATAAAAATGGCGCCGTACGTAGTTAAGCTCGCTAATATTAGTACGTCGAACACTAGAGAGGTTCAGCTTTGACTACACCGCGACCGCTAACTCTCATTAGCCCAGTGCGCATTTGGTTGGTTAATCGGGTAGATTAAGCCCATCTGATTTGTTAATTGTCCCGTAAAGGTAGCGACAGTGAAAGTCAAATATGAACACCTCTTAGTAATAACTCAAACATGTGACTACAAGCCCTTTTGACCCATATTTGTACGTTTATCTTAATTAATATGTTAAACATTTTCGTAAAATGACGACGAAATTCACTGACTACAAGCAAGCCCTATATACTACTATATATATATATTTATCTTTTTAGAGGAGACGCTTCCTGCCGGTTGGCTGATGTTTGAACTGATGTTTGCCCTACTTGGAGTTCTTATATTTTGTTATCTCATATCGAAGTATTTTTTAGACAAATTTTTTAGGTAATACGGACTATATCCTTTAGGCATTCACGAAAATACACCTGTCCGCACGAAATATATAGTGGATGGCATAGTGATTGCCCACAATGTGAATGGACTTGGTTTATATTAGCTGTTAGCTGCTTAATTTAACTCTCATGCCTCGGTCAAACGAGAATTCATAGAGTTGATGAGAGTTGAGTGGATATTACCGCGTGTGCATGCGAAAACTCTCATCAACTCTCCAAATTTGAACCAGTTCAAAGTTGATAAGAGTGCATGAGAGTCGAACGCGAGCGAGCGAGAGTCGGTCAAACTCTCATCAACTCCTCCTAGAGTTGGAGCACGCTGTCCCCATCACCTGGGCTCCTGTCACAAGCGCCATAAATCATGAAATTTTGATATTGGTTAGACTGCGTTTGTTGTGCTGGGGTGCTTAAAACGGCTTTCCAGAAATGCACCTCCATTAAATTTGCTATTAAAGTAATTTAGTCTACTGAGCGCTGCATCTATTGAAACGATTTACTTGTTAATGTATCATTTACTGAGAACGAAAGTGTTGATTCGCTATCAATAATCCCTTGTTTCATTTTCAATTCCCAGGTTTCTTCAAAGTAGAGAAGACGGCCAGTTAGAGTTGTTAACACTCGGAGTTTTAGCATTTTGTTTTGTATTTCTTCAGGTAAGTTAGAAAGATGATACAAGCAATGAAAAGGAGAACATAAAAATCTTAACGAACACTTTCCAAGAGGAAAGCAACCAACATTTTATGAATGTTTTATAGTTCGTGGTGTTCATGATCATGAACATGAGTATGTCTTCGAAATCTGTGGTTTGGAGGAAGTCACTGAAAAGGGATGTTATCCAAAATACTATTTCGGATTGGAAAAATCATAGCGCGCCCCACCAGCACATAACCTATAAACGCTCCCTTAGTTTACCACTGCTCTATTCTATGCTTCCTTGTTAAGCCCGTTTTCCACTAGGCGAATTTGTTCGCGCGAAGCGAAGTGAAAAAATATGTTCAGAAAGGTGATCGGTTAAGGGGAAAAGTCCCCGCGAAGTAAGAACCGAGTTCGGTAGCAACGATGTTGGGTTGGGTTAGCCACATTTATAAATGTCGATTTCATGAAATATTTGTGGAAATTTTCTTGGACATCTTTTGCAATTAAATTTAAAACTGTTTTGGTATAGTTGACTGAGATTCTTGGAATTTCAATGGAGCTTGGATGTTTTATGGCCGGGACGGTGATAAGTTCTCAAGGAGAAGTAATCACGGGAAAGGTTGGTGGTTTTATTGTGGAAAATCTCATAAAAATACTCGGGAACTACTGTAGTGCACGTTTGTCTAATGCAGGTATAACAACATGCATTAAGGTGGCTCGATGTAATTTTCAGAAAAGTCTGGTGTGCAACATTTGGCGTATGCGACTAGTCGTATCGTGTCAGTGCATGCATGAGCCTTTGAATATATTCTAGCACATTTAATGCCCTGCACCAAAACCATTTCGCAGTCATCCACTGTATGAGTGTAACTTTTATTTCTCTGTAGTTGAATACTCTATTGGAACCAATCAAAGATGTATTTTCCTGTATTTTCTTTGCGTCTATAGGTATGTACTATGTTCATCAGTATTCTTAAACAATTTATCATGTTTACGCTCGCTACATGCCTAATGCGAAGTATACACTGTTAGTCCAAAAGAGTAAACACGTCGGAAAAGGAGTTGTTCTGGGATCAAATTAATGCAGCAAAATTGTGTATTTGATGATAAAAGCACACAACTTGGACATTTTTTTGCTATAGGGGCATTACAGATTATCTCCTGGTTGCCACGAAAGTTTGTTTTTCTTACCGTTTACCTATTACAGTCATAGATATCTTATATACACTAAATAGTGCATCTAATTATTCTGCAATTCAAAAATTGAAGCCGTGATTGCAGGCTCAGGGTATTTCCATGAAATGAGAAGATTCGTGTATTTTCTATTTCTTAAACAGGGAACTTAAACATTAAGTTAAACCTATTCCAAATAAATTTTCAAAACTATTCAAATGATGAAAGTTATTGTTGTTTTTTAAGCGTTTATTAGCGAGTGGGAAACACCAATATGGCCGCCATCTATTGAAATGGAGGTAACCGCTGGAATATTCTTCGCTTCAATTTTACTAAAGGAGATGCGCTATCTAGTGTATATAAAATATCTATGATTAAAGTACTATGTTAGAAAAAAGTGAAATTTCGAAGTTCACTTTTAGCAAATATCACTTACATCGTTAGAATAAAGATCGCAAAAACTATGTGAAGAACTTTTAAGCGGGTAGTACGGTTTCCCAAGCCTATCCTGAGTTATTAACGGTTAAAAATCGGGCAAAATGGTACAAAAAGGCCATAAAATACTGGGTTTTAGCAGGTTTAAAAGTGAACTTTGCTAAGAGTGAACTTTGAAATTTCTTTGAAAGATATACTTTAATAGGTAAATGTTAAGAAAAACAAAATTTTGTTTTAACCAAGAGCTGATCTGTAATGTCCCTATAGCCAAAAAATGTTCTATACCCTAACATTATGCCAAGTTGTGTGCTTTTGTCATCAAATGCACAATAGAGCGTTTGCACTCATTCCCCAGGGACCAACTCAACAAAAGCCATGTTGGTGTTCCAGACAAAAGAGTCTAATTAAAATTCTTTTGAATTGGAACAAATCTGATCAAATTGGAACAAATCTGGAAGTAATTGGGGGGGGGTACGATGTATAATCTTCGATGTATAATATTCGAAATCTGCAAAATCTCACCCCAAAAGTCCTTGAAATCGCATTTCTGGGGGGGGGGGGCATTCCCCCAGAAATTGGCATGCCCCATGAAGTAATATGAGACAATAAGATATAGAAAGTTAAATTTTGCTGCGGATGTCCACTGACAAAACGCGCACGCACAAGTGTGAGTAAATTTGCGACAATCCCATATAATCTTGATTTTGGTTAGTTATCTATTTGATCAGTTAGTGTAGATGACAATTTTTACAAGACCATTCGGCAGCACTTCCCTTTGCGATAGTAACTCCTAGTCATAATTATATCGACGACAAAAATCCATTGCACGGCTACGCCAGCACCCTAGAAGATGCGGTTAAACATTACGAGCTTAACATCGCACAACAACGAAATGCTTTATATCGTAAACTTTACAACAACATGAGACCAGGTCAACATGTGTATTTATGCACCAGTCAATGTAACCCCCCCCCCCCAACCCCGGGGCTATGCAGGGATTAGCGGGGCACTAGTAGTTTATTAATGTCCCTATGAGCGGGGCATTTGCTTCGTTTAGATCTTCGTTTAGAATTACCGGGGCTTTTGGCGGGGATTGGACACTATGGATTTGAGGTATATATTTCATCTAGCCCTCATTAATATTCTGGCTTCGGCTCGGTGCTTTGACCACGTGTTTTGTCTTGACGTTTGTGTGTGATATTTTCGATCGTTTTTTTATTTTGATCTTTCTTCGCTCACGCATACCTGTTTTTATTGTTATATACTGTAACATTTAATAAAAAAATTTGTATTAAAACAAATAAAGACAGTGATACACTTGGAAATTTGAATAACAATGCACGCAGTTTAAATATATTTCGATATTGATGATTTAACTATGGCATTAGGCAAAAAAAAAGACAAGAGCAATTCATATAAACTTTAAAATATAACCATATTTAATATAAATATAAAGCATTGTCTTTTTGGTATTGCAGTATTGCATTTTATTTTGTATTTAATTTGGTTTAAAAGGTTCTGAAAGCCCCACAGGCCGGGGCATTTGTCCATTTTAACTGTCTCCGCATGGCGGGGCATTCGCTCTGATTAGAAACGAAAATATCAAATCCCCGCCTAATGCCCGGGGTTGGGGGGCCGGGGGTTTACATTGACTGGTGCATAAAGAGCATTTTGAGCGATGGAATTTAGTAACTTTTGCGCCAAACGCTGTGAATAATTAATGATTTATATCAATGGAAACGTATATGTTGTGAACTCATAACAAATATTTAATTTTAAACAGTATAATAGCCTGTGGTTTTTTAGCTAGCAATTATCTTTGTTAATTGTGCTATTTTGTGCCTTTAAAATTGATTAAATCCTTTGTATTGCTACAAAAGCACTGCAAACTGCCTAATGAAATTTCAAGGAAATTTCAAAGAAATAACGTATACAATCTAAGAAATTTAGAGAAATTTTGATGACAGAAATGAGAAATTTTGATTTTGAAAATGGAAGCACTGTCACAACTGCCGTTCTTCATACTCGCTGGCACAGAGTAGAGACCAATCTCGTTCCCCGAGCCTGCGATCCTTGGGAAGGAAACGAAGGCTCTGGGATCATCCGTTTGAGGGAGGAATCTGATTGGCCATTGAAACGGAATGCGTAGTTCAATCTTAGCCAGGATTCTTGGCTTCCGGTAACGGATTACCCCAGAGCCTTCGTTTCCTTCCCAAGGATCGCAGGCTCGGGGAACGAGATTGAGTAGAGACATACAGAGACGTAACTAGTGTACCCGCTTTTTTTGTGCTCATGCTCGGCAAGTTACTAGATGCATGCATCTGATTGGATGACGACCTGATGACGACTCACTTTAAACTTGCTGAGCACGCGCAGTTGATCATTTTTCGCCCGGTCGCCTGAAAAAAAGTGGGTACATGAAAACGTAATCTTCCGCAGTGTTTACAACGGTCAGTTACGTCTCTGTATGTCTTATCTGCTCTGTGTCGCTGGTTTGAATTGCAAACACGATCATTTTGTTGGAGAGACAACTGTTTAGAAGATTTTACTTGGTGAGTTATAATAGTATATATATGTTATTGTATGTTGTTGAAATGACTGCAGGAGACCTTTCATGCTCTCATATCTTGCTATGGTTTCGCCGAACAACACGTTAAACATTGGTTGGAAAACAAATGCTGTTTAATATACTTGTTTGTGTTGTACAATCGCGGGTATATGCGTAACTAACAGCTATTTGTTGACCGCTTTGTTGAATCTAAGAATTGGTGAACAACATGTCCCGGTACCTTGCCCGTTGTCGTTTTCTCACGTAAACTTACATTTCACAACGAAATGCATGCCAAACATGTCCGGTTGATATTCTACTGTAAACGAATATGTTCTATCCTTAATATTTTCTTCGCTTTGAGAAGTATACAGAGGGAAACTGAGCTGCGAGATCGCGCAATGCGTTTATATAATTGTATGGTGGCATATTGTATTTGCATTATAAATTGTATCTACTTTAACTTTCAGTAAAGACCAAAATATGGTCCTTTAATATATAAATATGCAACACACATATATAAATATATATAAATATACAATTATATGGTGGTCGAGCGTTGCCACTATCGTTTTTTTGTACATTTTACATTATTTTAAAGATTTTTTACTTTTTATTTTTTTAATTAAAATGAAAAATAAAAATAAATTAAAATGAAATACAAAATAAATTAAAATGAAATACAAAATAATTTACAATTAAAATTAAAGTAAAAGTGAATTTCACCATGGCTGAGGGCTGCCACTACCAAAATATTCTTTATAATTTTTTTTTTAATTAAAGTGAAAAATAAAAATAAATTAAAATGAAAAATAAAAATAAATTAAAATGAAAAATAAAAGTAAATTAAAATGAAATACAAAATACTGATTTACAATTAAGGCTATGTTTACATTGTATCGGATCACTTTGCGTCCGACGCAAGGCATACTTCGAAACCCGGACTCGGACCCGGACTCGGACTCGAAGAAAATCCGGACTCGAGAAAAACCCGGACCCGGACTCGAAGAAAATCCGGACTCGTGTTTAACAAAACCCGGACTTGACTTTTGAAAACCCGGACTCGAAATAAGGCAAAACCGGATTCAAATCAAGGACTCTGTGTACGAAAATGCAAAGGTTTTATCGGTAATAACTCGCGGATAAATGGATTTGTGCTCTTGCGCGGGTGCCCCTTTCTCTTCTCGCTTTTGTATATAATAAAATACTTTATTTCAAAAGCAATAAGCTTTGGTTTCGAAAGATATAGATATTTTTTTCTTCTAGTGACTCTGTGTTATGCGTTATCTGAGGATACTAATCAGTTATCATACTATATGGTTCCTCCCAAAACAATCGCTATATAGCCTAGCTACCTAAACAAATCATTTAGCCTTATACATACTTGCTTACTTACTTAATTTAAAAAATTATTCAACCACGCTGACCATACACAACATATTTGTAAAATACATACTTCTGCGAGTAGCTAACTAGTATCTACCCTAGACATCAGCATAGCAGACTCAACGTGATCAATGGCGGCAAGGCCCAAGGGTAAATATATCCTCAACATATTCGACCTCGCTATCGGCAAAATGACACGAAAAATAACTAGACTTCAACCAATCAAAAGTATAACTTCAACCAATCGAAAAGAACGCCGGAAAAGCACATCTCATGTTGAAGGCAATGAAGGTATCGCGGCAACCGCGCCTAAATACCGACTGTGAAGTAATTCGAGCGTTGTTGTGCGGATGGACATAAATTTGATAATATAACATGCTCTCAAATAGTTGGACAATACGCTACTGGAAACACGTTTATTTTCTCTATTTCGTTAATATAAAGTCCATAAACACGAATTAAACACCCGCAATTATTCTTTATCCGAAAGTAGTAGAAAACACATCACAATGAAAGCAACAGCTGCAAGCCTACACCCGCGGCCAACAGTGAAATTCGCGTTGGATGGTAAGATGGTTGGCGTAAATTTGATATTGAGACTCTCTCGTTAGGCAATGCGTTCATCATTTGCCCCATATGCCTTGCATACAACCGCGGCTCGATACTGACAATGAAGTTTGACAATAAATCAAGTTAACGTTATTTTGAGAATCAACAATCAACATGCTACCCTCGTACTAGCTACTAATTGTAGATCGTTGTGCATCAATACATTTTAGTTTTTAATAACTTATAAGTGCCTAAATGATTTGGTTCCAGTATATCTAAGTGATTATTTTGTTAACAGCAGAAGATTAAAAATATCGAGATAAAGATATAAGAGATCATCGTTTATCATGTTACTAATTATTAAACCTTTCCAAAAAACCTTTGCATTTTCGTACACAGAGTCCTTGATTTGAATCCGGTTTTGCCTTATTTCGAGTCCGGGTTTTCAAAAGTCAAGTCCGGGTTTTGTTAAACACGAGTCCGGATTTTCTTCGAGTCCGGGTCCGGGTTTTTCTCGAGTCCGGATTTTCTTCGAGTCCGAGTCCGGGTCCGAGTCCGAGTCCGGTCCGGGTTTCGAAGTATGCCCCGACGCAAAAGCCATACCGGATAGGGCTTCGGTTTACATATGAAATGTTGTTATCGTCTCAATTTCTGCAACGAACCGGTGGTGCGGCGGTTCGCTGTTCGAAGTGGTGCGCGGTGTATCGGATCGGTTTTCGCAACGCTCTCATTGTAATGTAAACACCAATCGGAGCAGTTTCGGTTCAATGCGTGACTCGGATAGAATCTGGCAAACAACAACTTACTATTGTAATAATATATAGAAGAAAATACGACGGCATAGATGGGCGGGGCGGAAGCTGTTTACACTCGGGCCGTAACTTTTCGCGAACGAAACAAAAACTGATCCGATACAATGTAAACATAGCCTAAAATTACAAAGTAAAAGTGAATTTCACCATAGATGATTTCACCATGGCCGAGGGCTGCCACTACCATAATGCACAGCGACCCGAGAGCTGACTCATTAAAATTCCTCTGTTGCGACAAAATGGCGGGCAATTCTGATATCAGAGAAGCACCTTGGAAAGATGATGAAAATCTTAAAGAAGCTTTGTCAAATTATGTTCAGCAAGAATTAAAAAGAAGTGAGATACTAGACTTTGTTACTCGCGACTTTCCTCAATATACGTGGAGTCTCAGGTCGCTCGATAGACGTCTTCGCCATTTCGAGTTGTTTTGGGCCATTCCATTTAATATACACACCCCCCTATGTACGAGGCCAATAAATTTTGAACCCCTAAGAAGAAAAGATCAAAGTGCCGACACAAACACCCCCCCAGAAATTAAGAAATTTTTGCCTTACCCCTCAGAAAAAACGCAAAGATCAAAGGATGCCGATGCACACATCCCCTCAGAAACGCCTTTTTCAACCCCCCTCGGAAATTCTCGTCCATAGGGGGGTGTGTATATTAAATGGAATGACCCTTTAATATATTAATGACCAAAATATTGGAGTCTCGGATGTAATCAAAGCGGTGCAAACTGAATTGAACGGCCCGGGTATGCTTTTAGGTTACAGGGCCATGCACAAAAAAATCAGGATAGAACATGGTCTTAATGTTACAAGGGATAAAGTCTATGATGTGATGACCGAGCTTGACCCAGAGGGACTTGAAATGGGCTATTCCATTTAATATCCGTACCCCCCCTGTCGAGGATACATGTTTTTCATTGTCATACCACTGAAGAATTCCAAGCTCAAAACTGTTTACCCCTGAAAAATTCCATGCTCAAAACTCTTTACCCCTGAAGAATTCCAAGCTCAAAACCTTTTACCCCTGAAGAATTCCAAAATTCCAAGCTCAATTTAACCCTTTACCCCTGAAGAATTCCAAGCTCAAAACCTTTTACCCCTGAAGAATTCCAAGCTCAAAACCCTTCACCCCTAAAGAATTCCAAGCTCAAAACCCTTTACCCCTGAAGAATTTTAAGCTCAAAACCTTTTACCCCTGAAGAATTCCAAGCTCAAAACCCTTCACCCCTAAAGAATTCCAAGCTCAAAACCCTTTACCCCTGAAGAATTTCAAGCTCAAAACCTTTTACCCCTGAAGAATTTCAAGCTCAAAACCCTTCACCCCTGAAGAATTCCAAGCTCTGAAAAATTTCAATCTCAAACCTCTTTACCCCTGAAGAATTCCAAGCTCAAAACCCTTTACCCCTGAAGAATTCCAAGCTCAAAACCATTTACCCCTGAAGAATTCCAAACACAAAACACTTTACCCCTGAAGAATTCCAAGCTCAAAACACTTTACCCCTGAAGAATTCCAAGCTCAAAACCCTTTACCCCTGAAGAATTCCAGGGATCCTCGACAGGGGGGGTGCGGATATTAAATGGAATCAGAGGTGGCGCTGGTGGCAAGAAGAAAAGAAAGAAGGGGCATTTCACGACAAAGGGAACGAATTGGGTGCATGCACTTGATGGTCATGATAAGCTGATGGGATATCAAAATTCCACTTTCCCATTGGCTATCTATGGATGTATTGACACTGCCAGTAGAAAGCTGTTATGGTTAAGAGTTTGGATATCCAATTCTGAACCAAAATTAATTGGGAAGTGGTACCTTGAATATCTCTATGAAACGAGAATAATATCAGCCATGCTGCGAGTGGACAAGGGTACTGAGACTGGTGTCATGGCAACCACACATGCTTTCTTACGAAGTAAACATGGAGATATGGATCAACATGAAACTGTTGTCTATGGCCCTTCCACCTCTAATCAGGCAAATTTTTTATTTAATTGCTAAAATTTATTTTTTATTTCATTTTCTACACTTTTTCAAACTGGCACATACTCAGCAGCAATCATGCAAGCCTTTAATATTGATTATAGACCCAATGTACTTAATCACGGACAAGATTTAATTTCAATTCATTTTTTTTCATATCATTAGCACTGATGAAGATCCGGGCTTACGGATCGAAAGCTTTGCAGTAATAAATTTACGTGGTGTTTCCACAAACAATAGTATTATATGTTTAATCGCCATGCAAACTTGACAAATTATGACATTGGGTCATTCCAGAAAGCATCCATATATCTCCCTCACAGAGGGAATTGGAAGTTAATTAACCCCCCAACATGTACCCCCTTCTTATTGTATGGTCCTAAGATACATACTAAATTGTTAGAAACAAAATCCCCCTCTGGATGGCAGAAATCAGAGAGTTTGGCAAAGACAACGGCAACATGGTCATCAACAATAGCAGACAAAGACAAAGGTGAATGTAAATTACATGGTCTTTAAAGCATTGTGCAATGCCATAGTTGATGAAACTAGTGTGTGATTTGCACATTTTCACGGTGCATGACTATGGCAACAGTTAATTCTTTCAATGTTATTTGAGGTGTTTTATTTGAATTCGCAGACTATTTTTATTCATTAGGGCTGTTTTAGAGGAGGAAGAATACTTAAAGAGGCAAATTAAGTGTAGTAACATATACTTTGGCTGAAATACAATAATATAAGCAGTTATATTAGCAATTATATTTTCCCCATTGTCGTTGCCGTTCTAGGTTGCCAAATTCTCTATCACCTCCTTGGGGGGAGGACAAGTTTACTCATCAAAAGGAGACTGCTGTCAAAGTGTTAAGACAAGCAATATTGGTTCACTTGTCAAATTGGTCTAATTTTGGATAAGTTCTTAATTAAATTATTGACCTTAATTTTATTTATGTTTCAAGAATGCTTCTATCTTTTGTTATGATACCATTGGTTCAGAAAGAACTGGATATTTTTCGAGAGACTGTGTGGAACTCATAGAATAAGAGCACAAAAGGATGCAGTATTGCCAAGTGGGATTCCTACCCTCATTTATAGCTTTCCAGATGAGTATGGTCTCGAAGAATGTGGTAAGTTGTGCCCTGCTGTATGTACCTTATTATTCTACTCTGTCTAACGCCACATGAATTTTCTTGTGAAGGATAGAGTCGTGCACACTAAAATCATACATTGCAGCTTAGACACTACATCAATATAGAGTTATCTAACTTGCTTGCAGCTAAAAAAGCTATTTATAATTATGAAGTGCAATCAATTTGAGCAATAAAGAGAGAGGGCAGCATATATGGAGCCAAGGGCAGATTTTCATATTTTTCTCTGGGGGGGGGTGCAAAAAATTCAGGGGGGTGGCAATGATCTTATGCAGGGGCGGATCCAGGGTTTTTGATGACCGGTTACTAGGTTCACCCAACTATGCTCCCCCCCCCCGGGAAAAATTTTTAAATTTGGGGCTCTGAAACAGCATTTCCTGCGTTCTGGCGTCACTTTTTAAATTAATTTAATGATTAGAAAATGCATGTTTTTAAGTGAATTTTTTACTAATATGCAGCTCAAACAATGAATTGAACCTTTTCTGAAGCGTATTAGCTAGTGCCTAGTGATAAAAATATAGGATCCGCCAATTGCTGACACATCGATTTAGATCTACACGCTTTCAATCCAACTCTAACGACGAACTAAAAACCAAACTGCAAGAGCGTGAATGCTTCCCAATCATTTCTTGATTCTCAATCGCCAAAGCAATGATCAGTGGGTCTAAATACGCTCGGTAGTCCATAATCAAATTTCAATAATAGATTAGACAACATCCATTTTATGAAACAGAATATCCTTTAAATTAGTTATATACATTATTACATGGAAGGTTATAGATTTTCTTTCTTTGGAAAATCTGACAGGTTTATGTACACCTGTCAAACCTGTCTGAATCCATTGTCAATGTGCTATTGTCAATTGTTAACTTTTACGTTAATTTGCTGCAAAAAAGCATATATAGAAACATGTTGATTTTAATATTTCTATCTTACTTAACAGTAGTTTAATTTAGTGCTTTTAAGTTTTGGCAGGGACGGGGGTGCACATTTTTGTTGGCGGGTGCACAATTTCTCGGGGGGTTGGGATTTTTGGGGGGTGCGCACCCCCCAGAAAATCCGTCCTTGTATGGAGCACATATGACCATTCTGTAACCTTTACATAATACCTTATTTTACAGGCCTAAAAGTAACTGAAGAACAGCTGAAGGAGGCAGCTACCTTATCTGGCATTTTGCAAGTACCAGATGACTATTTGGAGCCAAATGTTAGAGCAGAATGTGAAAGACTGATCCCTGATCATGACACAATCAAACCAAATTAATGCCAAGATGCATACTTATACTTGAAACAACATTATAATAGTTAATTTTAACATGTCAATTTTAATGTTCTTTATAATAGATGTCTATAGATGCATGTCTGTGCAATCAAGATATGGAGGATGACTTCCTTGATGCCTCATTTAGAAGAAGTGAATCGCTTCTACCAAAAACAGAAAAAGTAGAACCTAAAGATTGTGCATCTGCATTCATATATCTCAAAGAAAACTTTAACACAACATTGTAGATGCTACATATGGATGTAAACTAAATTTAAATTCATTTTGTAAATACAGATTTAAACCAAATCCTTAGAAAAACAAATGGTGATCAAAGTTTGTTCGTTCACTGCAACCAGGTATATCAACCATGTTCTCGCTTGCTACTCCGGTTTAAATAAATGATTACAAAGCCCAGTCGAATTGTAATCAAGACCCAACATTTCGACACTCCAGTCTAGTGTCTTCAGGAGTGATCTGAAGTTACAATCGTTGGCTTCTTAAATACCCAAGAGATGACGTCACCTGCCAATGAGATGCATGTATCCCTCTGGTAAATAGGCACCGTCATCCCTATTCAAAGCATGATTACTCATATTTATATGCCATGCTTCTAGGCATAGTCTTTGACTAGTGTGGCATATAAATATGAGTAATCATCCTTTGAATAGGGATGACAGTGCCTATTTACCAGAGGAATACATGCATCTCATTGGCAGGTGATGTCATCCTTTGGGTATGTAAGAAGCCACATTGCAACTTTAGATCACCCCTGATGAAGACACTAGACTGGAGTGTCGAAACATTGGGGTTTGATTACAATTCAAATGAGCTTTGTAATCATTTATTTAAACCAGTGTAGCAAGCAAAAACATAAATGGTGATCAATCTTTATTGCAAACACTAGTCACCAAAAGTGGTAAAAGACATTGTCGGACCTACTATGTCTTCCAACTGTTTATTTAAGACTTGAATTAAATTGCCCAATGTGTTCATAAAAGTTTTTATTATAACCTGGTGTTAACAGATGCTTGCCCAGTCACTCTTTGCTACCACATTACTAGGGATGCGATTTAAAGTCTGATATGTTCTTAAAAGACATTAATGAATCTTCTAAGAGTAACTAACAGATAATGTCGATAATATCAAGTTTTAGGTGTCCTTGTTATACACCAAACTGAAATAAGAACAATGTTTTAAAGATATATCATTACTTGAAATCCCCTAACAGCAGTTTGTGTATTCTTTCTATACAAGTACTTTAAGCTTCAGAAGCTCACAGTACTCATTACATCGATGAATGAGTTTAAATTTTGCAATTGCTTCAAATGACAAATTCCCTGTGGTAAAAAGTAATTCTTTATTTTCATCAAAGAGGGAAGATGATGCAACTTCTGGGTCTACAAGGGAGTAGCCACATCCTTGGATATCTAACACCATTACCTGATTGTTGGATTTTTCAAAAGAAAAATGAGAAAGACACTCTGCTTTCTGTAATATAACTTCGTTGACATTCTTGCACAATGTGCCATCATTGTTTATATACTTACTAAACTCTCCATCTACAAACTCTTCAACTGTGACAAATTCGTCACCTTTTTTTCCTAAGTAGACACTCCCATAATGAAAACAATCATTAAAAGATTCTTGCATGCCATTTTGCTCAACACTTGTCTTCAGTTGGCTTGCAAAGTTCTGGGCTAAGCTGTGCATTTGTACAACCTTCTTTGTATGGGTTTCGAGAGTTTGATTGGTCTCAGCAATGACATCCAATGCATTTTCATTATATTCTTTGACTACCCATGAACCAGCAAAGCTCTCATCTTTTGATTCTGCTTTATAAGCTTTTCAGAATGCACCTTCTCCGAGCACATCTTCTGAAACACTAAATTCAACTGCCCTTGGTGAAGACGACCAGCTCATATCTGCCAAATTAAATCCATACAAGTGGATTGTAGTGGTAGACTTGTTTATAAGTTTACCTAGTTTCAACATATGGGTTACCAATAGACTCTTGGGCATTGGTGTTGAGATTTTAGCTTTTTTTGGACTTGGAACAGAGTTAGGGCCCTTTCGTTTCACAGTTGTGCTTTGCGGATGAACTGGCAACTGGGTCAGTATCATCACAGAGTAGAGACATACAGAGACGTAACTAGTGTACCCACTTTTTTGTGCGCATGCTTGGCAAGTTACTAGATGCATGCATCTGATTGGATGACGACCTGACTCACTTTAAACTTGCTGAGCACGCGCAGTTGATCATTTTTCGCCCGGTCGCCTGAAAAAAAGTGGGTACATGATAACGTAATCTTCAGCAGTGTTTACAACGGTCAGTTACGTCTCTGTATGTCTTATCTACTCTGTGGTATCATCAACGAATACAGGCGCATCTGCTGTCGAGCTTTTGTTTATGAATCTGACGTATATAAGATTCATATTAGGTATTTGCTTCAAGGATGCGCAGGAAGGTCCTTGCTCACCGGCAAGAATATCACATACAACATTGTTTCCAACCTTCGGTTCAAAATGTTTCAGGCATGCATCCTTCACTCGTTCAACTGTCATCTCTTCTTTTGTATAAAATCGATCTAGATCTTCATCGTCGTCGTCATATAACTGGACAAATTCCCTTGGGCCGATACGTGAATACTTTTGGGCCTTGCCCGACACGTCCGCGCTTAACATTTGAACAGTTATTTCACGTTTGGAAACATCTTTCCCTTTTTGGCTCTTCCTAGCCTCCTCCGCAGGCAACTCTTGTTTCCCACTCCCAAATCCCAAATATATACCGACCTTTCAACCAGAAAGAGACAATATTTTTGTCGAATTTGGAATTTGTATGACTACATTAGGAAACATAAGGGGACATTGCGATACAAATGTTGTTTTATGGGGTGGTTAATTCTTACTGTTTCTTTCTGCTCGGCCAAACTTTCGATATGGATTGAAAGCGTGGAATAAATTCAATTCTTTTCTGGTAGAAAGGTCGGTATATATTTGGGATTTGGGAGTGGGGAACAAGAGTTGCCTGCAGAGGAGGCTAGGCTCTTACCACTCAAGCGGGTTTTTTTCATATCTTCTTTGAACTTTCTCCATTTCTCCGCCATGTTGCCTTCCGCGCGGGCAAAGGTTCATGGGATGTTATGATAGCGCTCGGCCACTGCTCGGCCCATGGGAATTTCTCTCGGGTCGCTGTGCATTATGGTAGTGGCAGCCCTCGGCCATTGTGAAATTCACTTTTACTTCAATGTAATTTTAATTGTAAATCAGTATTTTGTATTTCATTTTAATTTACTTTTATTTTTCATTTTAATTTATTTTTATTTTTTATTTTTATTTATTTTTATTTTTCACTTTAATTAAAAAAAAAATTATAAAGAATATTTTGGTAGTGGCAGCCCTCGGCCATGGTGAAATTCACTTTTACTTTAATTTTAATTGTAAATTATTTTGTATTTCATTTTAATTTATTTTGTATTTCATTTTAATTTATTTTGTATTTCATTTTAATTTATTTTTATTTTTCATTTTAATTAAAAAAATAAAAAGTAAAAAAATCTTTAAAATAATGTAAAATGTACAAAAAAAACGAGTGGCAACGCTCGGCCACCATATA